CCACTAACATCAGCTGCTAGCTGTGCACCACTAACATCTACTGCTAGCTGTGCACCACTAACATCAGCTGCTAGCTGTGCACCACTAACATCAGCTGCTAGCTGTGCACCACAAACATCAGCTGCTAGCTGTGCACCACTAACATCTACTGCTAGCTGTGCACCACTAACATCAGCTGCTAGCTGTGCACCACTAACATCAGCTGCTAGCCCTCTCTGTAGTGGTGCACCACTGACATCAGCTGCTAGCTGTGCACCACTAACATCAGCTGCTAGCTGTGCACCACTAACATCAGCTGCTAGCCCTCTCTGTAGTGGTGCACCACTAACATCAGCTGCTAGTCCTCTCTGTAGTGGTGCACTACTAACATCAACTGCTAGCCCTATCTGTAGTAGTGCACTACTAACATCAGCTGCTAGCCCTCTCTGTAGTGGTGCACTACTAACATCAGATGCTAGCTGTGCACCACTGACATCAGCTGCTAGCTGTGCACCACTAACATCAGCTGCTAGTCCTCTCTGTAGTGGTGCACCACTAACATCATATGCTAGCTGTGCACCACTAACATCAGCTGCTAGCTGTGCACCACTAACATCAGCTGCTAGCTGTGCACCACTAACATCTACTGCTAGCTGTGCACCACTAACATCAGCTGCTAGCTGTGCACCACTAACATCAGCTGCTAGCTGTGCACCACTAACATCAGCTGCTAGCTGTGCACCACAAACATCAGCTGCTAGCTGTGCACCACTAACATCTACTGCTAGCTGTGCACCACTAACATCAGCTGCTAGCTGTGCACCACTAACATCAGCTGCTAGCCCTCTCTGTAGTGGTGCACCACTGACATCAGCTGCTAGCTGTGCACCACTAACATCAGCTGCTAGCTGTGCACCACTAACATCAGCTGCTAGCCCTCTCTGTAGTGGTGCACCACTAACATCAGCTGCTAGTCCTCTCTGTAGTGGTGCACTACTAACATCAACTGCTAGCCCTATCTGTAGTAGTGCACTACTAACATCAGCTGCTAGCCCTCTCTGTAGTGGTGCACCACTGACATCAGCTGCTAGCTGTGCACCACTAACATCAGCTGCTAGCTGTGCACCACTAACATCAGCTGCTAGCTGTGCACCACTAACATCAGCTGCTAGCCCTCTCTGTAGTGGTGCACCACTGACATCAGCTGCTAGCTGTGCACCACTAACATCAGCTGCTAGCTGTGCACCACTAACATCTACTGCTAGCTGTGCACCACTAACATCAGCTGCTAGCTGTGCACCACTAACATCAGCTGCTAGCTGTGCACCACTAACATCAGCTGCTAGCTGTGCACCACAAACATCAGCTGCTAGCTGTGCACCACTAACATCTACTGCTAGCTGTGCACCACTAACATCAGCTGCTAGCTGTGCACCACTAACATCAGCTGCTAGCCCTCTCTGTAGTGGTGCACCACTGACATCAGCTGCTAGCTGTGCACCACTAACATCAGCTGCTAGCTGTGCACCACTAACATCAGCTGCTAGCCCTCTCTGTAGTGGTGCACCACTAACATCAGCTGCTAGTCCTCTCTGTAGTGGTGCACTACTAACATCAACTGCTAGCCCTATCTGTAGTAGTGCACTACTAACATCAGCTGCTAGCCCTCTCTGTAGTGGTGCACTACTAACATCAGATGCTAGCTGTGCACCACTGACATCAGCTGCTAGCTGTGCACCACTAACATCAGCTGCTAGTCCTCTCTGTAGTGGTGCACCACTAACATCATATGCTAGCTGTGCACCACTAACATCAGCTGCTAGCTGTGCACCACTAACATCAGCTGCTAGCTGTGCACCACTAACATCAGCTGCTAGCTGTGCACCACAAACATCAGCTGCTAGCTGTGCACCACTAACATCTACTGCTAGCTGTGCACCACTAACATCAGCTGCTAGCTGTGCACCACTAACATCAGCTGCTAGCCCTCTCTGTAGTGGTGCACCACTGACATCAGCTGCTAGCTGTGCACCACTAACATCAGCTGCTAGCTGTGCACCACTAACATCAGCTGCTAGCCCTCTCTGTAGTGGTGCACCACTAACATCAGCTGCTAGTCCTCTCTGTAGTGGTGCACTACTAACATCAACTGCTAGCCCTATCTGTAGTAGTGCACTACTAACATCAGCTGCTAGCCCTCTCTGTAGTGGTGCACCACTGACATCAGCTGCTAGCTGTGCACCACTAACATCAGCTGCTAGCTGTGCACCACTAACATCAGCTGCTAGCTGTGCACCACTAACATCAGCTGCTAGCCCTCTCTGTAGTGGTGCACCACTGACATCAGCTGCTAGCTGTGCACCACTAACATCAGCTGCTAGCTGTGCACCACTAACATCTACTGCTAGCTGTGCACCACTAACATCAGCTGCTAGCTGTGCACCACTAACATCAGCTGCTAGCTGTGCACCACTAACATCAGCTGCTAGCTGTGCACCACAAACATCAGCTGCTAGCTGTGCACCACTAACATCTACTGCTAGCTGTGCACCACTAACATCAGCTGCTAGCTGTGCACCACTAACATCAGCTGCTAGCCCTCTCTGTAGTGGTGCACCACTGACATCAGCTGCTAGCTGTGCACCACTAACATCAGCTGCTAGCTGTGCACCACTAACATCAGCTGCTAGCCCTCTCTGTAGTGGTGCACCACTAACATCAGCTGCTAGTCCTCTCTGTAGTGGTGCACTACTAACATCAACTGCTAGCCCTATCTGTAGTAGTGCACTACTAACATCAGCTGCTAGCCCTCTCTGTAGTGGTGCACTACTAACATCAGATGCTAGCTGTGCACCACTGACATCAGCTGCTAGCTGTGCACCACTAACATCAGCTGCTAGTCCTCTCTGTAGTGGTGCACCACTAACATCATATGCTAGCTGTGCACCACTAACATCAGCTACTAGCCCTCTCTGTAGTGGTGCACTACTAACATCAGCTGCTAGTCCTCTCTGTAGTGGTGAACCACTAACATCAGCTGCTCGTCCTCTCTGTAGTGGTGCACCACTGACATCAGCTGCTAGCTGTGCACCACTAACATCAGCTGCTAGTTCTCTCTGTAGTGGTGCACCACTGACATCAGCTGCTAGCTGTGCACCACTAACTCAGCTGCTAGTTCTCTCTGTAGTGGTGCACCACTGACATCAGCTGCTAGCTGTGCATCACTAATATCAGCTGCTAGCTGTGCACCACTAACATCAGCTGCTAGCCCTCTCTGTAGTGGTGCACCACTAACATCAGCTGCTAGCTGTGCATCACTAATATCAGCTGCTAGCTGTGCACCACTAACATCAGCTGCTAGCCCTCTCTGTAATGGTGCACCACTAACATCAGCTGCTAGCCCTCTCTGTAGTGGTGCACCACTAACATCAGATGCTAGCTGTGCACCACTAACATCAGCTGCTAGCTGTGCACCACTAACATCAGCTGCTAGCCCTCTCTGTAGTGGTGCACCACTAACATCAGCTGCTAGCTGTGCACCCCTAACATCATCTGCTAGCCCTCTCTGTAATGGTGCACCACTAACATCAGCTGCTAGTCCTCTCTGTAGTGGTGCACCACTAACATCAGCTGCTAGCTGTGCACCACTAACATCAACTGCTAGCCCTCTCTGTAGTGGTGCACCACTAACATCAGCTGCTAGCTGTGCACCCCTAACATCATCTGCTAGCCCTCTCTGTAATGGTGCACCACTGACATCAGCTGCTAGTCCTCTCTGTAGTGGTGCCCCACTGACATCAGCTGCTAGCTGTGCACCACTAACTCAGCTGCTAGCCCTCTCTGTAGTGGTGCACCACTAACATTAGCTGCTAGCTGTGCACCACTAACATCAGCTGCTAGACCTCTCTGTCTGGTACTACGACAATTCCAAAAGCACACTCTAACATGAATAAACCCTAGCTGTTCTGCTTTTCGCCTAATCCTCCTGGCTCCTACCCTTCTGTTTCTCTGCTTTCTTCTCTGACCATTTCCGCATTTTCTCCTCTTTGCTGCACGCTTAAGATGACATCAAGCGCAGAGCACGTGCTCCATAGCTCCGGTGACAATTCTTATAAAATGAAAAATTCTCACGATAAAGTTATTAAAGGGCAGGAAGTAGCCGGTCACCCTAGTAGAGCCTGCCTGCTAGGGAAAAGGGCAATGGATGTCCTTATGGAGTCCATAGGCCTGGCGCCACCCCTCCTGCTGAACAGACGTCCATGTTCACGACTGCCTATCCACTTAGACTTAGTTTTTTTTAATCGAGATTGTCTCCTCTAGATTCCTTAGGTTTTGTGCCTCTTCTGTCACGCACAATAGTCTTGAACATGGAAGGGTTTTCCTGATCAAGGGACTCACGACCTAAGTATGCCCCTTTCATCCCATAGGCACAAGCACTCATTGGGCCAAACTAAGTTCTCAGTGCAGAACAGCTGGTGTGCTCCACTGCGCGAAAGATTGGACATCAACAGCCCTGGATCTCTCTGATCCTTATGTATTCCAGCAGTAAAGGAAATACAAAGAAAGATAATATGACATGCATTGGCAAGGCATTAGCAGCTGTTAAAAGGGTGAATAAAATATCAAACTCCAAATTGTATAGTTTTAAAAGCTACGTTACAAACTTTCAATGTGAATGTTGTTTCAATTTTAACATATGCCAGGTACCAGGAATCACTTCTTCAATATATGAGATTCCGACTGAGAAAGGCAGAGAACAAGAATGTATACTGCCCTTTTTTTTTTCCGCGAACATCCTGTAAAGTGAAATACATTTTCAGTTTTTGTTTGCAAACATATATATATGGCTTCAACTGTATGCATCTTTACCCACACAAAAGATTTGCTTTCAGATAACCACACTAGTCCACGTAAGTTGACAGGTATGACAGACTTTGTAAATATAAGTACTTCTTGTATTACACATTGAATTATAACTATTTATTTCTGAATAAAAATAACAAAACATTCACAACACTTACAAACTGCTTCACAAGGTCTGAGAAAATGTCTTTGCCGGCAGAATCATAGATATAAATTTCCTGCAAAACAAAATAAAAGAGGTAACTATTTCAAGGCAAAGAATTTTTTTAAAAAACATGCTGCTGTTTAAATAGCGGAATTGGCTAAACCGGATTTTAGTATAAAAACATGAATATGCAACTCTGAATGTTTTTTTTCTTTTATAAACCACGTGTGGTACTTTTTTCTGCTTTAATAAAATGGTTACTTTATATATATCGTGTGCGCGTGCGTGCATGCATGCATGCGTGCATGTGTGTGTGTGTGTTTTAATAGAATAAATACAATCATATTACCACACTGTCTTGAGTTTCAGGAATGTTCACAGACTTGACAAGAACTTCCACACCTTGTGTCTGAAAAAGGAAAGCCATATTTCCACAAATTTTAGGAGTATGTTAAATTATGAGATGTCGACTTAAGGACAACACTGATAGTTCTTTCTTTGCGTGGTACAAGTGTAGTTACAAACTCAAAACCGATAACAGTGTAGCGTAGTGGTATACCCAAACTGTGGTACAGGTATAGTGGCATACCCAAACTGTGGAACAAGTATAGTGGCATACCCAAACTTTGGTAAAGAATACTGGCATACCAAAACTGCGGTAGAAGTGTAGTTGCATACCTAAACTGTGGTACTTCTTTCAGGCAGACTGATGAGAGTGATGTTCTGCAAAGGACCTGCTACATGATGATGATGAATACAGATAAACCCTATTATAGACAAGACTATATTATCTATCATAGAGGATTTGTTTGGTTTATACAACAAAACACGAGGGTAGTAATCCATAAGTGCTCTGTTCTACTTATAACTCAAGACTGAGTCCGAAAAATCTCAGCGCAGTGCACAAACTCTGTAGCATCGACGAGCATCCTGAAATACTTTGGGTAGATTTTTAACTACAAATTTTTTGTCAGGGCAGCGCCGTTAGGTTACTTTTTTATTTTATTTCCAACTGCCAGGGATTGTTTACATGGGCAACAATGCACACGGGGGTCCAACTTTACTACCCACAGACCAGGGGGAAATTACAAGAAGTCCATGTGAAAAATCCCAGCCTTTACCGGCGCCTGAACCCAGGACCTCAAGCACTCGAGGCAAAGGCCATGCATTAAGACCACTCAGCCCCCAATGTTCTTATCCATTATAGAGTATAAGAACATATATGTCTTTAATGAGACAACAGCACTATTGGAGAGATGAATGGAATATTTTAATATTATATTATATAATCAAGAAGCAGAGCCTGGCACTGCAGCCCCATAATATTTACATATTTATTCCCAAGTCCCAGAATCAATGGTATGTAGCACAAAATATTCTATACTTCATGGAATGCCCCTGCTGCAAAGTGAGAAGTAATAACTTAAAACTTGCCATTGTATAGTTCTTAGGAAAGTGTGCTCCATCACTGTGAAATACTTGGGCTATGGAACTCTTTCCAACAGCAGAATCTCCTGGTAAAAAAAAAAATATGAAAGAATGTTACTTTTAAAAGGTCACAATGGGGCCAACAGGTCCATCTTACATTTGGCCTTTTTAAACAATCATGTTTCACATTCCCAGTGTATTTTTATCACCAAAGCAGGGTCTTCTTCTTCAGCATTCTGAGCCCTTGAGGTTTATTGCTGCAGATATCACTCACCTTCATTTATCTCTCTGGTGGCCTTCTCTTTCCAGTTGGTGAAGGTCTGTCTGGATATTTTCTCTCCATCATTTTCTTGGTCGGCCTTGTGGTCGATGACCATTCAGTTCCCTTGTGTATACAGTTTTCATCTCTCTGTTGTCTGACATTCTCTCAATATGCCCCAACCATTTCAGTCTATTAGCCCTCATGATGCCAGTGATCAATGATGATTTAAACAGAATGTGAACTTCAATGTTACTTCTCACTCTCCCCATTGTTAGCATTTTTGATGGGTCCAAAGTTTTGTTGTAAGACTCTGTTTAAAAAAATGTGTTATTTGAAGAGCATAATAAACTTAATTTCCAGATTGTACTCTAGATTGTATTTCTTCTCTCAGCATGTTGGAGCAGTTGAAGTCTACAACCAAGTAATTATATGTTTTCGTTCGTTTGATTTTCATATTATTGACATGTTTGTGGTCACAGTTTATATCCTTTCCCTGTCGTATTATTATCATGTATTCCTTCTTATCTTGACTAATAACTAGCAACTAGTCCCATTTTGTGAGCTGAGTATTATGTTCAGATAATAAAATAATATGATTATAAAATAAAAATACAAAGGCACAGATGGCAAATGTATACATTCAAATGTACATACATGCATACATACTCATACTGAAACATTTACACACACACACCTAATTCTTACAAAAAAACTCATACAAACACATACACACACACTCACTAAGACATACACATAACAGATACCTCTACATACACACACTCATACATATGCTTATATAAATATGTGCTCAAATTTACTTATATATAGAGAACCACACTCATACATACACATTCAAACACACATACATAAAAACACATGCACACATGCAAATTCACACTCATACATACATACATACATACATAGCCCTCATATTCAAATGTACATGTGCATTCTTATTAAACCAAGACATACACTCTCAAACATGCACACACAACTCATAACGAGAGAGAGAGAGATACATAGAGACAAAGAGATAGACAGACAGAGAGACAAAGAGATAGACAGACAGACAGAGAGACAAAGAGACAGGCAGACAGACAGACAGACACATAAAGTATGTATTAATTAGATAAAGTCCGTTTTTTGTTGTACTAAGTACTGGCTGTGTGTGATTATGTTCTGAAAATATTCCTCATACAAAACTTAAGGTACATATTTTCTTTTTCAGTTCAATTTATATATTCTTAAGTGGTTCACCTTTATTTGTAATTCATTTTGGACCACTTTTCTATGATATAAAAGAGAGAAAATGAGTGTGCCCTTGAAGAAACAGTAGACTGTTTAAACATTTTTCTTCTAGTTCTGGCTTCCTTACCTTATAAAAAATACTACTGCCGAATTACACAATATACTAATTAGATAATAATACAATTGTTTTGGAAAGTCAATTTATTTTGCTAAGTGATGGTTCAAACATGATAATGTTCTGAAAATTTATCTCAAAAAATCTAATGAACTGTTTGTTTCAATTTTATTTATATATTCCTAATTCCTAAGTGGTTAACCTGTGTTTGTGATTCTTTCTAGAAATATTTAATAAACTTTGCATGAGCACGATGAAGTTAATGAGAAAACAGAATTTCACTTGACTAGTTGTTTTAGCAGCATTCTAATATTAACCATTAATACTGCAAGATTTCTTTGATGTATAAAATGTGTAATCAAATGGACTGTTTTAATTAGTTACACTTTAAAACTGCAAATACAATAACTAACCAAGAAGAAACATAGTCTAATTACTGGGGGAGAAAAAAATGATCATGATTTTGAATCCCAGGGGGTTCAGCATCAGAGACCTAAAGGGTAGTAAAAAAAGACGTAAAATCGGCGCATCATGCGTTCATTGGGCTTCTAGGTAGGAAACTATGAACGTATGATGCGTTTCTTGGGACTCAAAGAGTCACACACAAAAAAAGATCAGGAAGAACAACAAAATATGGGTCACAGAATTTACGCTGAAGAGAGTTACCAAGAGTAGGCAACAGTGAAGAGCTTCAATACCAGTACTGACCGACTTCAACTAATGAAATGATAAATCTAAAATATAAAGAAATAATAAAACAACACTTATTTTATTGTCTTCTTTTTTTTACTGTTGTCTTACCGACAATCACACATTTACAGCGTAAAACTGTTGGCATCTTTGTGAATGGCAGGTGCAGTCAAACACTCTTTCTGTACAGCAATGGAAAGCTGAAGTAAATGTGGTGTTATGAACTGTAAAAAACCATAAACATCAAACAGTCAGTTAACTCTTAGTAATTTGTATCAGAAAATGTAGACTTATTAGAGTCTAGAGGTACTAATATTAGTAGTAAACTATAAATATAAACTGTTAAAATATGTGACCTGTAAAGAGTTCATAAATTACAATGTTTATGTATACATTTACTCATTTTTATTTACTAAACTTTGAAAAAAAAAAATATGAACATTAAAAAGACTCAAGATGTAATCCGATCTACCACCATTTCCAAAGCCATACTAAAGGGCTCAGTACAAGAGGTGAGAAGAGAAGGCAAGCCACACAAAAAAAAGCTGAATCCAAAATCAGGCAGACTAGATGGACATCAAATATAAAAAGTCCAGCTCAGATCAACAGAAATGAATAGTCAAACATAGCAAAGATTAACCAAGAAAGAAAAGGATAATATTTCAAATAATAATAAAATTATTACCTGTTATGAAGATTTTGTAATCTGATAATTCTTAAGTTAATTTTTCTGCTGCTTCAGCTCTATATTAGCTTTTGAGAACAGGTGTTAAGATAAATTTGTGGACCCATAAAAGAACAAAATAGTGAAGGATGAGGAATAAAAAGCAACAATAAAATTCAACCTTAAAAAAAAAAAAAATTTGTAATTACTGGCATCAAGAGGGATAAGATACTGCAATGGTGAGGGTGTATAGATACAATAGCAGATAACAGAGAGACAAAAGCTGTGTGGATGTGAACTGAATAGCAGGATTAAAGGTGCTGATAAAATTAATGAAAATGTAGAGTTCATCTCTTGGCATTTTAGTAATACCAACACCATTATCTATGTATGCCATGCTCTTGGGTCAGTTGGCCTATTAATGAGGATGAATCTATTTTTATCCTGCCAGTCCCCTACTTTCTCTCCTCGCTGTTCTACGTGATCGTAGACCCAGCTTTGTGAGCGACTATTGAAATTTCCACATACAGTCATTCTTCAATTTGCTACTACTGTATCCAGTGCCTGAGGGTGGTCGCTCAGACAGTAATAGTTGATTAGTTGAAAATCTGTTTTTTTTTTATCTTAAGTTTAAGAATATGATACTCTGCCCCTTCCATATATGTTTCAATCTGGCATGCAAATATGGTTGTTTTTTACTAGGGTAAGGATTCCATCCTTTATCTGTCTTTTCCGTCAGATCAGTAACACTAGTAGCCTCTGACCTTGAAGGCTATGTCTTGTTTGAGGTAGGTATCTTGGAAGCAGCATACGTGTTTCTGCTCTTCATTTAAAGTGTTTTCTAGTTGTAATTTTTTATTTCATTTTTTCCCCCTCCATGTTCCAGTGCATTATTCTGAGACTAGCTCTATTTAGTGTTCTCGTGGTTACACTAGGCATCTGAGGGTGACTTCTAGTATTTGTGGTTGGATCCTTTGCTACTAGAGGTAAGCCAGTAAGACATCCCACCTGTCCGCCAGTCAGTCACTTTGTGAGAATCACAGTGATTTGCATATAGATATATTTTCTACTGTATTTGTGCAAGGCAACCTGATTGTAAGTTTAGTATTAGTTTTAATTTCTGTTGACGTCCACAAATTCCCTAGTGCTATGAAAGCTCCTCTTGCCTTTTGTATTTTTATCTACATTACTCTCCAAATAGGTGTACAACTCCACGTCTTGGAGTGGGATACCATTAAGAGAAAACACATTACTATTTGCCTGATTTATTCTCAATATCGTTGTCCTTCCCTCTAAATTTTCAGTCCTAGCTGTTGTGATCTTGAATAAAGTATATTTAATTTATTTTGCATCTTATTCCGTGAATGGGACAGAGGAGAAATATCATCAGCAAAGTCCAGATCATCAAGCTGTCTTGTAGGGGTCCACTGAATTCCACTCTTGGTGTTAGCAGTTTCTGTTTTCATAGTCCAGTCTATAGCCAGTAAAATACGAGAGGCAACAAAAGACATCCCTATCGCACACCTGTTTTATTTGAAATGTATTTGTTTGCTTTCCCTCATGAAGAACTCAACATTTCATGTCTTTATGTGTTCCCTACTAATCATTTTCTACGGGATTCCAAAGTACCCCAATAATTTCCATAGATTCCTTATTAATGTTGTCAACAGATTTTTCAAAGACTATGAATCCAATGTGAAATGGTGAATTTAGTTAAATGCTCTGCTCTCTTAATATACGTAATGTTGCTGTCTGGTGAGTACAGGATCTGTTTGGCTAAAAACCTGCCTGTTCATCTCTTTGCATCTTATAAATAGCATCTTTTAATCTTTCCAAAATAATCCTACTTAATATTTTCCCAGGAGCTGACAGCAAAATAATTCCTATATGATTTTCACACTCCTGTTGATCACCTTTTTTTAGCAGTTTCACAAGATATCCTTTTTTCCAGTCTGCTGGTATTTTTTTTGGTTTCCCAGACTTTACTAAATAATTTGGCTATCTTCCAATTAACAGTCTCAAATTATCGAGGCGGAAAATATACCCTAACAGGGCCTCAGTCACATGTAAATTGCGGACTTTTGCCACTGCCTAGAGTATCTGCCACGCGCTATGCGGCGGCGTGGATTGGGACTAAACTAGATGGCTGGGACTCATGAGCAAATAAAATGAAGAAAGCTGCATAAGATGCAGTAGCTGTTGCTGGTGAGTCCCAGCCATCTAGTTTAGCCTCAATACACGCCACATGTAGCGGCATGAGAGATACTCTTGGCAGTGGCAGTAGTCACCAGAAGTGCGCAATTCAAGTCGCAGGAAGTCTGCAGTTTACAAGTGACTGAGGCCCAGTTAGGGTATATTTTCGGCCTCGATAATTTGGGACCGCTATTCAGAAGAAAGCCAATAATTTGTGTAGCAATTGAAGTGTTTAAATTGGCCATAATAACTTCTGCTGGGATACCATCTGGACCTGCCGCCTTTCTTCCCCCCTGAAGATTGATAGCTTTTTTAATTTCCTCTTTAGATGGCATCTCACAGTTGATACCCAGTTGCATTTCTAATGGTTGGGTATCTGGTGGAACTTATGGGGCTTGTCTATTTAGAAGTATTCCAAAATATTCAGGCCATCTGTCCATTTGATTTTTAGGTTGGCAAGTACCTTTCCTCCACTATTTTTAGTTGATCCAGTTGGCTGAATATAATTACTTCCTAATTTCTTTATGTTACTGAAGAGATCTCTGAGGTTTCCTTTTGCTGTCTTCACTTGTTGTAGGAGTCGACAAATTCGGGGGGGGGGGGGGGGGGGCTTCTTTTAAGACGTAACCAACAGCACACAAATAAGCCAGTAAACTTTACTGTAAAGGTAAAACGGAAGCACACGCAAAATGGACGAACAACCAAGACTTTCCACCGGAGCTTACAGCCTGTGAACAAAGAAGAAGATATCTAGCTGTGAACCCACATGTGTTTCCTTGTGGTCGTCATATAAGTTAGCTATTCAGAATTCTCAATGCAATCATCATTTTGCGAAAGGAAAGGGTATGACTATACACTAATACTTAGGTATGTAAAATTTTGTTTAAAAAATATTAACATATTATTATTAATTAATTTAGCATTTTAGTGATATTGCATCAATTTATAAAAATGGTTCCTCATTCTGCGTTCGTTTTCAGATAAGTTTAGGAAATTTACCAAAGACTGGTTTTCCAATAAGTGTTGGAGAAAATATATTTCTGTGCCCAGTAACCAAGTGAAACAATTCTCACTTCCGGTCTTTTCTAAACAACTTCTGATCCCGCAGTGAAAGATTTCAGCACTGCCATTGGTCAATTGATTTTATTTACCAGCCATCTTTGTAGCTGTTATTGAGCAAGGAAATGGGCAGGGCCAGACTTCAAGTTTGTTGTTGTTTTTGTCCACAGAGAGAGTACCCCGTTGGATCTGTTCTGTTCTAGTGAGCACATTTATATATGAATAAAAAATATCACCTTTCATTCTTTAATATAAACAGATCTTAACCAACAGCGTTTATAGATCGGTACATACATTTGTGGGACTGTTTCTAACTAACTAACTAGTAGTAGTAGTAGTGGCATTTCGGCACTCTTCCGAATACCGGCCCCATATTATTCAAAGACAAAAAATCCCATTCAGGGCCTCAAGAGGTCGTTGTTAGGGACCTAAGAGGTCATGTTGTTAAAAATATGGAACAGGAAATGCCTTCTTTTATTATATAAGTTCGTTTGAACGAAATTACCGAGTCTTCGCTAGTATAGTTGATATGCAGGATTCTTGTTACGCCGGTGATCAGGTTGATCGGGGTTCGATTTTCCGGCGGGCCAAAAGAAAAAAAAAATTTTTTCTATTTTTTTCTTCAAAAGGCTGCGATATCTGCGCCTTTACTCGGTCTTGTGGTTAACAGCTAGGTTGCGATAGCATTTTTTTTTTCACTTTTAAAAGGGTGGTTTAGACGTTGTTTTGTAGTTACAACAGTTTATAAGCAGTTAAAAGGGTGGTTTGCACGTTGTGTTGTGGTTACAACTAGGCTGCGATATAGGCTGCGATTGCGCCTTTCGCTCGGTCTTGTAGTTAACAGCTAGGCTGCGATAGCTCTCCGGCGGGCCAAAAGAGAAAAAAAAATTTTCTATTTTTTTCTTCAAAAGGGTGCGATATCTGCGCCTTTACTCGGTCTTGTGGTTAACAGCTAGGTTGCGATAGCGGCGGCAAATTTTTTTTTTACTTTTAAAAGGGTGGTTTAGACGTTGTTTTGTAGTATTGCACGTTGTGTTGTGGTTAACAACTAGGCTGCGATATCTGCGCCTTTACTCGGTCTTGTGGTTAACAGCTAGGTTGCGATAGCGACGGCAAATTTTTTTTCACTTTTAAATGGGTGGTTTAGAAGTTGTTTTGTAGTTACAACAGTTGATAAGCAGTTAAAAGGGTGGTTTGCACGTTGTGTTGTGGTTACAACTAGGCTGCGATAT